CTTATAATCATACTTGTAATTTTATCATATATTGCGTCAGTGGTATGGTTGGATATGCGTACGTTAGAAATATTGGTTGTAGTTGACTTGAAACTGGTTTAATATCATTGCCACCCAAATGCGCCCTGTTAGATTTCTCAGCAACCCCCTTACCCTGAGCCTCAAATCCAAAACCCTGACCTGAGCCCCGGCTACTTTTCAAGGTTTGCACCTGCAGGAGCAGAGCCCTCCAAGAACCCGTTGCGCCGCACTGCAAACCCGTTTGAGGGCCGCACTTTTCCGACCGCGCTGGCTTCAAGGTTCTGTGGCAGCCGCTTTTCAAGCGCACCTGAATCCACAGCAATGAATCAAAGCCCGCCACAGTGGACAATCTCCACCTCTGATGCACACACCACCGTGGCTTGACAGCGTGGGTATCTTTACAGCAGCTGCTCGAGCTGTGGTGATTATCTACGGCCCTGGTGTGGCCCCGATTCCGGCTGAGTGCCCGCCGGGCTCGCCTTCCAAAGGTCGGAACCAGCATCGTAGTCGATCACGTGGCCACGACATCCACAAAGGTCTGGTCGGGCCTGATTGGGGCTTGCTTTGGCTACGCTCTCATGATTTTCAGCTACCCGATAACCTGACTTACTCTGCCCCATCCTTCTCTTACTCTGTTTCTTTCTTTAGGGCGCCTTCAGATTGACGATCCTCACTTGGGCGCCGATTTCTCGAGTCCTGGACGCACCGACATGTTGAATGAAATGTGCGTTAACGTGTAGCTGGGACTCTTGTCATGTTGCAGGTGCGGAGACTAGCATGGCCCAAAAAAACAGGTTCGGAGCAGGTTCGGAGCTGGCTATACGAGAGAGTAGGCTCATGACCCTTAAATAGAAATAGTATCATAGAAGATGAGCTAATGTGCAATGAAGTCACAACCTCTTCTTCGGACACTGGTCGGATGTCGCAAATTGCCCACGTGAACTGGCACAGATTTGTTCTCTCTGGACGGGTCTGCCTCTGGCGGCTTCTGAATGACTGTTTGAAACTTCAAATGCAATCACTCACAAGCGAGACTATGCTTCATGGCACCAATGGTTGGTGACAGCCCCAGCGAGTTTTTGCTGAACCCGCACTGGGCCGAAGCATGTGACGGGAACACACTGCCGTGCTCCGCACTAGCAACAGGATTTAACACATGGGCTAGCACCAGGTATGTGTTGAATAGGCCATCTAGGGAAGGTGGGCGGCTTCTGCCATGAGCACGCGGCTTGTAAAAATTCAGTGTGTGCTACTTTTGTACAATGACAGCCAGGTTGGCACGATGACTCTTAGGTCTATCGGTGTTATGGAGAAAACTAGCAGGGCGCCTAGCGTCTTGACTAGTTACAGTAGCTACGACTGCGGGTTGCGCACATCCAAGCCGTCTCCGGCATACGGCAGCAAGCAACCTTCAAAAGCTGAGGCAGTCCCTGTTTTAGACAATGCCCCAAACAGCCAGCGGCCGTGAAAACATGCAGCTTCGATAGGAGGCAGCGCGTGACAGCGCCGCCCGAATTACTCTGCTACCCCTGTATCTTGCTCAAGTTCCCTGCAGAGTACAGCGCGCAGGCCGTATGTGAGAGCCTGGCCTTGGAACCGAAGCCCTCCCATGCCAAGCGAATAATTCCTCCGCTCCATTCAAAAAGTTTGGCCAGCACGAGCACTGCAATACCACTGCTTTGGCCCTGTTGGTCATGAAGGGCTGCAGCCTTGCCCGCCAATCCAACGTAAACATGCCGTTTCTGGTTGGCTGGTCAAAAACAAGACAAGCACACCGTAGGGGAGACACACAGCTGGGACGCCGATGACCAAAGAGGTCAGGAAGGGACTTCTCTTCCATTCCTTCCTCCGCCTCTGCGCGTGAAGCTTCTGCTTTGGGATTAGAGGAACGGCAAATATGCCGAGCAAGGAGGTGGCATAGGCCAGCCCGTAGGACCACGCCACCGTCTCTCGGAAGCTGGGCGCGTCCAGCGCATAGTTTGCCGGGTTGGACAAGGAAGGGGTAAAGAGGCTGGAGACTTGATTGCTCACAGCTGTTGAGAACGGCTGGCTGGAGTGCATCACTGTTCCGACCAGGCCGTAGCACAAGCCTTCCTGACCAGGCTCTGAGAGCTCAATGACCATCAAGTTCAAGATCAATGCCAAAGCCGTGGTGGGTACAGCACCAAGGATTTCCTCACCAAGGTAGAAGTACTGGTTGCGGATCACATCAAAAACTGCCAAGAAGGTCGGAATGGCATCCAACACCGTCACGCTCACAATGGCGATGAAGATTGCCCGCCGCCAGCATGACTGGAGAAAGTAGACCTTGTAGAGCCAGGTTGCCACCATCATCACGAACCTTGTTTGTGAAAAGCTCATGTCGACAGTGCCTTTCAGGCTTTTGCTGTACAACATGTCATAACCACAATTTTCTCTACAAGAAGCATGCCCCCCATCTGAAAGACCTGTTGCTGCAGGACCTTGACCTCAGCCCACTGGCTTCGAACCATGGGCGCGGCGGTGGTTGTGATGGCGGCAAAGAACTGGGTGATGAAGGCAAAAAGCAACACGCTTCCGAGACATTTGCACTGGAGAAGACTCCTTAGTTTCAGGATCAGCCCAAGGATCAGCTCTACTCCCAAGCTCAAGATGTCTGTGGCCTAGGGTGGCCTAAGGCACGTTCCTTTATCCTATAGCCTTCTAGCATTTAATTTCAAGCACTCAGGCTGAAGCCGATTGCAGCGAAGCTTCCAAGATGACTCGATGTGGGCGCGGAATGAGGGGCGCTCGACCTTCGGGGGCTCATAGGTGCACATCACGCTGATCAAAATGAGGGCGGTCGAAATGATGAAGCATAACATCATCAAGCCGTTGAAGGACATAGACCAGTCGAAGGTCCCCAAATATTCCTTGCCGTTCATGCAGACCCCAATGACTGCGGAGGAAAGGAGCGAACCTGCCATGGTGACTATGGTGAACTCTGCCTTCATCTTCCCGCGGCACTCCAGCGGCTCACTCTGCGAGTACTCCAAGAGCAGGCCCTCTCCCGCCACACAGCCCATCTGAACGCCCGTGACGAGGAGAAACATAGGCCACACGTACCAATTCTTCTCCGCATGCATGGCTGGATTGCATGGAGGCAGCAGGTTGTCATACCACCCATCTGGATCTTGGCAATAGTACGGGTCTGGAAGCGGCCTTAGGCTCATTGACAAGAGCGCGCCGCTACAGACCATGAAAGATGCTACGAAGTAGGGCTTCCGGTTGTACCCACAGATGGGCACACAGTCGTTTATCAGGCCGAAGGGAAGAAGAAACACCTGCGGAAGCTTCATCAAGGACGTGATGGACATCAGGACATTGGAGTCCAAGCCCATGTAGCCAAGGAAGAAGCCATAGGACACTCCCGTCACGGTGGCATTGAGGAAGGCAAGAATGAAGCCACCAATTGGCAGGCCGCAGGTGCGCCACGTCCAGAGGCTAATGCGCTCATCACGACATGCTTCCTCGGATGTAGATTCCTCTGCAGACTCTCCCGAGCTCTCTGCAGCAGCCTTGGTGGTCGAAGCCGAGCGGTGGAAAAAGATGTAGTCCTCCAAGTCCTTGGCTTGTGACTGCCAAGGCTTCAAATGTTCGGTCTGAGAGAATTCGTCGTCCTTGCCCCAACAAATGACATGAGGCCAGAATGACATCACTTTGCTGTGCCAATGAGCTTGCCAACTAGGGCAATGTGGAAGTTGAGATACACACACAAGCAAGCGTAGTGGTAAGAATGGGCAGGGCGTCCAGCAACTGTGGAAAGAATCGTCACAACTTTCCCATTACGTGCGAAACGAAGGAAAGGGATAATGCAACGAATGAATTCTACTGTGCCACTTTTCTAGTCACTGCTGACAAGACAGGCACCAGAACAACACACGGCTTATCGCTGTAGCTCTCAGTAGTGTCACATCTTCTAGGCTAGGCCATCATTCTGGCAATGATAACGGTTGGAGCAGTGGCTGCTTTGGGTGGCGGTGGCTGAGAGCGGGTGATGGTGCTGGCGGCTGCTTTGTGACTGTGGAAGCGACCACACGAGAGCCCTCACACCTGAACATGAAAGTTTCTAAGAAGGTAGGTCTGGCAAGGCGCGTTGACGGCTCCAGCTTCCAAAGGGCTCGTCTGCCGGGCAAACGCTGTCGATCTGATTGGGATGGGCGTGATCACATTCCGCGACTCGGTTGTCTGCCGCTTGAAGTCGGCCGCATGCTGCTCAAGGTCCGAGTTTGTCCGCCTCCACTCTGCTGATCTGGCCGGCAGGGGCGTCATCCCTTTCTGATTTGCTGGGCACCCGTGTGGTGACCCTAATAAAGGACAGTGTGGGCCCAAATGGCATGCAACAAGTCAGTCGGCTGCGTGGCACAAGCGCAAATTGAAGAGCCTACCTCACAAAAGTGCCTGCGAGAAAAACATCCAGGTTGATCCCATGCAGAATGTTCTGCAGCCAGCCGCGAGCCTGTCAGCTTGAAGCGCCTGCTCGGCACATGAAGAACCTCAGAAGGCGGCAAGCAATGCACACACCCAGCCAACGTTTCCTGGACCAGCCTGCCTGCATCTCGACAAATCTAAAGGCCTTTGAGAGCGGGAAGGCCAAATTCTTGCAGAACATTTGAGCCAATGGGGAAGTGTACACCAGGGCACAGCGAAGGCAAACTGCCATTGCTTAACAACAATTTCCAAGCAAGGCTTGCATGTCGCATGTATTTCAAACTGCTTGGACAAACTACTTTTCCCTTTTGGGATGGCAAGCTTTCGAGCAGATTCAGGAGCAGAAGAATCTGCATGTGGCCAATGCCTGCATGTAACTGGGACAAGTCATCTCTGGCGACAGACTTTGAGTTACAAGTGCCTGTGGCGAAGTCGAAATGTAGGAAGAAGATGGCCGAAGCGAGGCCAGTAGAGTCAGAAAGCAACCCAAGGGTCGAACTTTTGGAAGCCCAAAGCATGCAACACACTGGCAATATTTTGCCAAGCGAGCAGTGCGCTCACAGCTGAATTCTTTCAGTCTGCCAGGGTCTCCTTTCCAGTCTCCAAGCATGTTTGGCAATGCGATCGTCGATAGTAAAGATCTCTGAGCAGTTTCTCTCCATGTGGGCAGGCAGGCCTTGCAGTACCTACGTGCTGACGAGTCCTGGAGCATGCTCTAGCAAGCAATGAGGAGGCAGGTGAAACAAACGCGGGGCTCAGAAAAGCCATCTTCTCAGCAAGCGTCCCTGCACCGCGCAACTCATTCATCTAAACCGCCCCATGCGAAGCATGATCTTCAAGCCATTCCGTGTCTAAGTCGTAGCCTACAAACACGACAGGAGCATCATCATTTGAGGTACTGCGTTCTACAGCCTCTTGGGAAAGGGGCACTTGTGGCAGCAGCGCCTCCAAGGTCATCTACTCGTAGTAGCAGCCGAAGACCATGCCTTACCCAGACACCCTACAAATCCAAAAGAAGAAAAGAGCCAAGAATCTCCCAGCTTCCCCAATGGAGTAACTAGTGGGCTCATCTCTGCAGAATTCCACCTTTTTAAGATCTTAGGGCGCCTAGGTTCCAAGTCTACCGCGGGTTGACTGACCCGGTTAAGATTGCTAGAAGCAACGGGGAGCTGGATGCTGCTGAAATATACAATCCCACCTCAGTTTTGCACGAAGTTATGTGGCTTTTTTGTAGACGGTTTGCAGGTCCTGGAGTCCTAGATTACGGGCAGCTTCCCCAGTACTTTGTGAGCCCATTGACAGATTCGTGTTCCGCAATAACCCAAATCCTACAGCTTTGGAGAAGGATCAAGCCCTGAAGATTGCTGCCAAGACATCCTCCGCAGATTTCAGTTCTGATGCCAAAGTCACAAGCAGCAGGTCAAAGTATTGGAGCCAGCCCAGGAGCGGTGAAGCAGTTTCTTGCCCAACCAAGCGGTTTATGCTAACTGAACTAGCTCCTGCAAATACGATCTTCTGATGCCAGGATGGCAGCTGGAACTTTCTTGATTGCATTTAAGCTGTGCACCGACTGCGAACAGCGACTGGTTCTCGAAGGTGTAGGAAGCCCAGTTGTCTGAGTTGACCTTTGGAAGCTCGTGAGGTTTCAAGGGTTCTGAGGGTCCTAGACCCTCTACTTTGCCGGACCTTGGGATTACTAAGGGCTTTTGGAAGCTGCTTGTGAAGGACAATCAAAGGAAGGTTTCAGTTGGGCTAGGATGGGGACATAACATATTTCCTTACTCCAGGGCCCCCAAAGTAACAGGTGAATGTGCTGCATGTGATAAGCACCCGCGGCAGGACAGGATTGGGTCTGTATCTGAACACAACCCTCAAATCATTTGTTGTAGGCTTTCCCTCGCAAACCAATTGTGGAGACGCTTCGTTGTCCTGAGACTCTGCAGTTTTTTGGTCGCTGGCGTCCCATAGGCACTTTGAAGCCACTCGAATGCCCTGCAGCAGTGCTTGGGCTCAGGGCAGACCCCTGCTGCAACAATTCATCGCATCTGCTTAAACGAGGCTCTTCTTGAAGTCTCATCAACAATTGCCCAGCAATCCCGAAAACGATAATCTGTCTTGCTTCGGAAAAGGAAGCTTCCCCCCAAACCCCTTGAAGCAAGCCGTGTGCAACTGCTGATTTAGTCAAACGACTCCTTGAGATCTGTCTGAATCTGCAAGCCTACAGCATACTGCTGGCCTGTCTTGTGGCAAGCTCACCCCAACCATGTCCAGCCCACTAGACAGCTGTCCCATCTCTCTGCAGGGATTGATTGCCCACTCCACGCTTGCTGGGGAAGTACGCAGATTATTTGGCGTGATGTCGCTGCCTCGCGAGGCAGCGTGGGAGCTTGCAAGAGAGGGAGCCCCTTATAGACCCCAACATAGTATGATCATGACAGGACTCTGCTGGCCTGCGAAGCTTGCTCTCCAATGACGACCTGTCGAAGCTCAGGCTGTAAGATGATTCACTCTGGCGGATCGTTTGTCGCCATGACCGTTTCAGGGTTTCCAAAAGCGAAGGGCCCCATGTAGACCCCAAAAGAACATCTTCCTCATAATAGGTACTCCCGGAAAGGGCCCATGATCTTTACACACACCCCTTTACAATCTCTGACTGTTTGTCATCAAGCAGCGCGAGCTATGCAAAGGCTTCGGGCACTGAACTCGCTGCCATGGGCCACCTTAAGCCTTGCTCGGCATTAGCGGAGCTGAGATTTGGCACTGCTTCCAAATGTACTGACGCAGCGTTCCTAAACTCAGGTGGTCGAAAATGTGATCCCTTTTTTTGGGTGACCTGAATTTTTGGGGTCGCATTATACTAGGGACCCCGAGAGGGGCCACAACTTTGACATCCTACCATGTCTGAAATTATTGCCAGAACTTCTGAAACAGATACGCAGGCCCGCGGATTTGAGGCTTAACGGACAAGTTCCTGCGAACAATCCTGTTTAAAGCTCGCCTCAGGCATTGCAGAACTTCATCAGTAGCTCCGTCATGCTTCTGGACGTGACTTTCGGCTATTGCTAGGTGCGTCTAGTTCGATTTTCCACATTATAATCTCGACTACAATCAGGCTTGAGAGCTGCATCGTGCCAGCACGCAGCCCCTGCAGCAACAAGGCCTGTACGATGATCTTGTACCGCGGTATGTTCAAATCTTGCTTGACAGAAGCCTTGTCAAAGCGATTTCAGTGCCGTATCCATAGCCTATGAGAGCTTTGGCCAAAGTGTGCCATATCACATTCAATGCAGAAAATTGACATCGAGCTTCTCTCGCAGCATCTCTGCCAGCCATAGTCTTAAAATCGGTAGCGGTCGAATCATGCTTGAAAAGGCACTGCTTCCTACCGAAAGACTTGACAACGCGGGACTGAGTTGCTGAAGTACAAGAAATCTTCCTGAAAGCAGCCAAGTCCGCACAAGTTCTGCTCACAGATTTTGGCCGCAGCCTTGATTTCGTTGCTCAGGTCCAGAGTCCAAGCTTTGGCATCCTCTACGGCATACTCCTTGTCCTATCAGAGAATCATTATTTTTGGGTTCGAGCGTGTTCGCCCAGCTTGTGCAGTTAGGTGGGGATGACAATTGAAATCCGCACAGTCTCGGCTGCAGATTATGCTTCTGGCGTTGAATATCAGATATGGGCACTGTCTGTAGTGGTCCAAAGCAATGGCATCGAGCCTAACACTGGCTTGAGGTGTTCAGACGACACAGGGAAAGGGGGGAAATATGAACATCTGATCTATCAAGGAACTTCAACATGCTCGATTGGCTCCAATTGCGCTGACGGGGTCCGGTGCCCATCGTAAACTATGGAGCAAGCTATAGCAAGCTCAACCGCCTCAAGGTGTTGTTACCTCTTACAGAATCTTGTGCGAACTGCTGGTGGACAATTCAGTGTATGTCTTGATGGACTTCTTGCTTCGACCTGTGGGGTCCTGCAAGTAGCCTTCCATAACGTTCTTGATGACGGCTGTCACTTTGGATGGGAGCATCTTCTCATCATCCTGATCGGCGTTGCATCTCTTTGTTCATAAGATGCTGCCCGTGCTGATTTGTTGCTGTGTGCTCGCAGGCTTGCAAATGCAGTTCAAAGCTTCACACATAAGCTGCCTTGGGCGCCATGATGTAGGTGTTCTCCCAGACATGGACCTGATGCTGGTCCCCCATGGTTGCGAGCCTGAGCGGGATCAACGTCTCAAGCTGGGGACATCTGAGAAAGTGCTCAGGAAGGAACGTAGCGAGCAAGCTAGATAGCTCATATAGCTCTTCGAAGCACCGCAAGCACACACGTGAATCTTCTGCATTTCTTTCCTGGAATCATTGCGCCACCTGTCTCGGCCCGACTTTGATTTCTTCCGACGGCCGATCGCCTGTTTTCTCGTAAGCTAACTTGGGGATTCCGGAGATGGCGGAGACCACAAGGGATTGCGGGGTAGCTTTGTTCAAGCTGCCAATACAATGAATTGTGGATCCCGTTGCCACTTCTGAGCTCAGCACATGTGAGTCCATGCCCATTGAAAATCCGAAATGGCGCGGTTCATGGGCCCCGAGGCCCAGCTTATCTAATCGCAAACAACACCGGTTACAACCTCACAGCACTTCCACAAGCACAGAACGTTCTGATCCATGGCAATGTGATCAAGCAGTGCGGCAGTACAAGCAAGACTCCCTTTTTCTCATGATGCCTGCCCTGAGTCCCAGACTATTCTCTTCGGCGCGACAACCGAGTGGAGTGACTTGAAGGACCCTCAGGTCCAAGAACCCTGCTGTGAGCCAAGCATAGTTATGTTGTACAAAGGCGGCCAGGATTTTACGCATGGCCCCTTAAGCACAAGGGACTGACACTCACGAAGGTGAACGTGAGGGACAAATGGCCAGTAACCCTGCTGCAAGGATGGCAAGGTAGTTTTGTGGTTGAGCAAATTGTTCGGATTGCTCCAGCCTCCAATCACCGTCCTTGACTGTAAGAATCTGCCCGAACTTGATCTGCACTTGACGCAGAGCGGGGAGGGTGCGCGTACTCCGCACGGGCTTTTTGTGTCTGACAAGTCTAGAAAAACAGTGCCAGAGTCTGCATCCTTCAACATCTGGCGGTCAGCTCAGAGTGAACCACAGTGAACCTGCAGCGCGGGACATACGGAATTGGTATGTATTGTTGCTGGGGCCGATTCTGTTTCGGCATGGTTGTGCCATGCTAGCCATTCTAAAATGAGCCCAATACCGTAGCAATGCTACAGGGAAAAAAGTGACCTAATATAGCCCCAATGTATATATAGCCTATTATAATATAGTAGCTTCCATTTCATTTTCCATTATCCCTACACAACCCCATCATAGTAGTAGTAGTAGTAGTAGTAGTAGTAGTAGTAGTAACCTAGTCTAGTTGCCACGGTGTGCTGCCCTTGACCCCCGACACCTGGAGGCGGCTATCGTCGACTCTTCTTTGTGCTTGTAGGCAGGAGCTTCTCCCTCATTTCCTCAGGCGGTCGACAGGCTAAACCGGTGCATGCTTCAAGCTTTCAGCCTCAGCATTTCCAGTAGCCTTAAGATGCCTTAAGTACCGCAAATATCCTACTGTGCAATCTGAGTTGTTGCGCGAAGCGGGCTTCAGGGCTTCACTGTGCCACAAACATTCTCTGAATACACGTGCTACATCGTGACAGAGAGAGGGTGGAGTGACTCAAGGCGACAGTGCAGCTGAAATGACTGCATCACAACCATGGCCGGCAGAAACATGGCCTACTATCTGTCATAAATGCCTTAACCCGGCAAGGGCACGCCAGAGCTCGTTTCCCGACAGTGCTTTTGACACCCTGTCCTCGAAGGTGATGAGGTCCTCGTCGTGCCCGAAGATCTTTGTGATAGTTTCTGCCTCAGAGCTACAACAGCACGCCTCCAAGCCAAGCCTACTTCCAGACGACCGGGAAGAAGCGTAGCATGAATTTGGAGCTTAGAATACTCAATCTTTGCGAGAGAAAGGCTTTGCAGCCATCCCTGAGCGAGGAATCGTTGAATCCCGCTGTCCTGCTGCAATCTGTTTATGGTCGTTTGTTGGGCAAGTTTGGGGGTCAGGAGAGGAGTTCATGGATCTGTGCTTACCTCAAATGGGATCGCCCGGAAGGCTAATTTCAGATGAGCGCATCTCCAGAGTTTACATAAAGGCGCCGAGCCCAACAGATGTGACCTGCCAAGGAGATACGGTGGTTTCTAGAGTTACCAAACCGCATGAGGCCCCGCCAGCCGCAGCCCGTCGCCAAGCTCTAGACTGGGCTCTGCTGAACGCTGCGGTTGGCCAGAGGCAAGACCTGGTTGCAGTCCGGCCCATTTTCTTGACGTTTGGTTCGGCTTCTTCAGGTCCGGGGTTGTCGTCTACTCAAAGCCTCTTGACTCTTGGCTGAAAGGGTGCGAATCTTGGTGGAGGTGCTGGCAAGGATAAGACTTGCATGATGCTGGGGATCATCTGCTTGCTGCATTGATGGCAAATGGGCAATACATGCTAGAAACTGTTTGCCAAGCTTGTACTACATGCTAACCTTCCCTTAGCAAAGGTTCGCTTTGTCCCCCCCAGGCTTTTTGTTTCAGAGGCCTTCTCCATGAAGGCTTCGAACTCTGCGCGGCTCAGCCTTGTATAGCCAGTGTTTACTTAGGGACGTTGAGGGCTAGATTTTCTGCGAGGACTGCCAGCAGCGGAGCCCGAGAAAAACACGGCATGTGGGATTCGAGTTCGCTACAGAAGTGCTGAGAAGTATTGGGCTGATAAGTATTCGAACTACTGGAACTACTACGCCCTCATCCAAACCAAAACGGGTTCCATGGAACCGAAACGTTTTGACTCTTTTGCAGGTCAGAAGACCAGGCAGCCCGACAAACAGTGCGGGGGTATGGTAAGTACATATATGCGCATAAAAAATACGTAAGTAAACGACTTACCATGATACGCTCGAGAGAGGGAGATTTCCAGGAAATGCAGTGTGGATGCCCTCGAGAAACATCTTCCAGCACGCGCTCCCAAACCTGTCGTCCCAAAGAGGAACCCTCACAGGCAACCGTTTGAGCTCGATGCATACCGTCGCCATTCACGTCATGCCTCCGGAAGAGCTCCAAGAATCGGTCCTGCACTCACCCTAAACATGGCATCCAGAAACCAACCACTGCTACCCGTGAAGGCAGCACAAGGTGAGGGTCTGGGGCTGACCTCGTCACATCTTGAGCCTGGTTTCCGAAAGTCAGGATACGAGCAAGTAGCTGCTCTGCAATGGGTGCAAAGATTGCAAAGTTCCTCTGAGGTTGGATTTATGTGCCACAAGTCTGCCCTTGTGTGGGCTTTGGCAGGGATCTTATGGCACGCTCCAGATCATTTAGCCAGGACTCTGCTCAGCACACCAGAAGGACAACTGGTGGACAACCCTCCATGCAAGCCAAGACATACCAAAACCGCCGAAGCTGCATTTTTTGGGCAACAGGCTGTGACAGTAAGCGGCCTCTAAGACGCTGTCATACGCTGTCTAGAGCAGGGGAGCGCAGCCCATGAGTACAGCAAACAGATTGCTTGAAACGTTGGCAGGTAGACCCTAAACCGTAAATAATCTGGTAGCTTCCAGTCCATTACCTCTATTCACCCCTGGATCAGGTCGCAGGCCTCCAGAAGGTCCTTATATACCGTCCTCAGCGCTGGCAGAAGCAGTACTTCCTCTCATATGACAGTAAGGCCCACTGCTCCCAGCACACCTATGGCATCCTGGGGTTCCACACAGGACTCCCGCGGAAAATTCACTGAAAGACAGGACGCCGTCCCCGTTGATGTCAAGCCTCAGGCAGGCCACTTGAGTACGCTTTAACTGTTGTAAAAAAGTCCAAGCGTGTCAAATTAAGTCAGTTCTTTCTCCAGATTACATGGATGGACCCAGTCTTGAGACTTCTGCCAAGGATCAGCCACCACCACAAGAAATTTACTTGAAATACTTGAAGAGGTATTCTGGTAGATGACGCGCTCACCAACTACGAACAAAGCTGCCATGGCAACCAAGAGATAAGAGTAGTTGCGGCTGCGGTGCGCTTGGAACGCTCGACCCTGTATCGTCTTGTCCTGGCAGCTCCGGACATGGTTCCATGGAAGAGGCCATGACCCAAGAGTTTGACAGCCTCTTAGCATCCATAGCTTGTGAGCGGAAAGGAATGCTTCTGGTGTTGTTTACAGTCATTTGGGGGCTGTTCTAACTTCCTTTTCCCGAAAACCCATCACTCGCCGCGCCTTTCGCGGAGCTTTCGCGGTCTTTCGCGCGCCAACTAAAACTTGGATTTTCGCAACCTGGCTTTCGTTTCATCCTGCATGATAGGCCGTGACATTATCAAGTACGTATAAAGACCTTTCGCCGCGCTTTCGCGCGCCTTTCGCGCGCCAAGAAATTGATCCCGGAACCCTGGGCTGCGAACTCGGCTTATCAAAAGCAGAACAAGGGTTTTAGAACAACCCCCAAATTTACATCCAACAGCTCCAAACCCTGACTATCACTGCTTTTCTGCTTCAATTCAGTTCAGTACACGCCTGCTCTGACAAGCTCAAGATACTTTCCCGAGCTAGTTCAGCGGCCGTTTGTAAGCTCATCGGGGTCGAGCTCGCGTTCGTAGTAGTGGCGCAATGTCGCCGTTACCACTCTGGGAGGCCAATCGGAAAAGAATGTGATTTTGACCATGCCTCTATTCTTGTGCTGCAATATCATAACCGAGACAGCGAAACGTGACACAGGATACTTCTGCAGACCTGAACACCCCCGATTGTCCATCCAGTTGGCATCTGCAGGTGTGTTCACGAGCAAGCGTGCCATCTCCAGGTGGCCAAACGCAGCGGCCACGTGTTGTGGTTCGTAGCAGCACAAACCTCCAAAGTAGCTGCGCGACTTCCACGTGGACCTCGAGAAGAAGACCAGTTTCCTCTTCCTGGGACCTGGTCACCGACAGCGCGAGCCTCTAACAGCAAGCGGGCTGGCTACAACTTCTAAGTGTCCACCTTGAGCAGCAAGATGAAGGGGGGTCACGCCAAATGCACTTATCATCTCAGGTCTGGCCCATGCTTCCAGCAAAGCAAAAGCCTGACTGCGCGACGTTGCCAGATTCCGCAGCAGCTACAAGCACGCTCACTTGCCAGTCTGAAGCAGGGGAATAGAGCG